TGTAAGTATACCTCTTTACTTTCGCTTGCGGGCTTGGTATGCTGAACGAAGTAGGAGTGGCCTTCGATGGTCACCTGCGTATTAAGTAAGATGGACTAAGTTCTTCTCACCGCGGATAGTTCCGTGCTGCCGGAGGCGCCTGTCGGCAGCAGGTCATAGTTAGTCTAGCTGCTTTCTCTATTAAGGCGAAAGCCTTAGATGTCTCATCGTTCAGTCGACCTTCAAAGTCCTTGAGCGAAAACACGTCGACGGCTTAAGAAGTACAAAAACACGTCGGCGACAGGAAAGGCACGAAAACACGTTGCCGACGCGAAATGCACCGAAACCCACGGTTCGCCACTGGACCACGAGATGGCATTACTTGTGCCAGAAACCAGCGGAGGCGCGCGCGCGGCGCAATCACAGCGGGAGAGGAGGACACTCTCGCTCGGGCTGCGCTGAAGAGCAAGCGTGCGACATGCCGTGGGATTAACGGCGCCAAAAGTGCGTCGTGAGAGAGCGCGCTGTCTTCGGAAGTTCGCTACCACTTGGATCGGCGCTTGGGCTTTCGTCTTCAAGTCGTCTTAGGGATAACATAAGATACCTTGTGAATTTTTCCCCTTCCGCCCTGGGGTGCCTTAAAAAGATAGTAACTGTACCCTATGTGTAGACGAGCAAAGATGACAGACTGTGGATCGCATGGTCCGGGCTTCGATTCCCGCTTAGCCTTTTGGTGACTGTCGCCACTTGCAAATAATTGTGCCTCTATCCGGTGACAGGTTAAGATTTCTAAGGATGATAATCTCATCTGCTTTCACTTTGGTAGAGCGAACGCTGGACGGAAGGCGATCTCTTCTCCAGCAATTGCTGTGCAAAATTGGAAGGAGCTTGGCGGAACTCTCGCCGAACTCTTAATCTGCTTCCGACTATAGTTTTGTTTTTTTAGGAATGATCGGTGTTAAGTATGCCACGTATATGCTTTGTATGCTAATGCATCGCCAGCTATAGGCTATGCATGCTTGATGTTGACATAGCGTGCACGTAGACCTTTTTTGTTACAGTCGAGCGTTGCACTATACGCATAAAATCCAGCCCATAAATATTTGCATGAAAACGGTTTAGTGTAATAGTATTTTGGGATAAAATACGACTCCAAAAGTTTAGCTTCCGAAATATAATCGATAAGATTTAGCTTTTATAACTTCATAAATCTAGATATGCAAACTGAGTGAGAATGGTACATCGCCTGTTCAGTGTTGAACCCCACGCATGTGGCTCGTCATTTACTGTGAATTTCTTTTAATCGGCGGTTACCATAGACCAAATTATTGTTCCTGAATAATCTATTAAAAGGTGATACTCAAAAGTTTTCTACAAAATGCTAGACATTTTCGGTCAGTGTCGTATTCTCCTCTCGCATAGTAAATTTGACATTATATTTATATGCAAATTCTTTAGGAAAAGAAACACACGCTTTAGCTGCTGCGTTTGAGCGCCATGCCGTGATTGTGCTGCTTAAAGTGTACAACTTCAACAAAATATATCCACGTTACAAGGCAATGGCGCCTTATCATATAGCAAACCAATTGAAACTCAACTCGCACTCTAGAACATTTAGATACGTAAGCATTGCCTTAGAGTCAACAAGTATTGACAATCACTGAAACCTAAGGAAACAGTCCAACTAATTGAACTTACGTAACCAAAAAACATAAAAACGAGAAATGGCATTGTGATGGTAATTTTCATACTGGGGTAATAATTAGGGTCACATGGCAAAGTCAATGCTTCGGCGTAGATTTTTATATAACCTCTTCATTCGCAATGCTCGCAATGTAGACACTGTAGTTAATCACTTTTAAAGGTTCTCAGGAATATAAAAGATATCGCTTTATTAAGAAAGTGCTGCTCGCGTCGCACTCGGTGCTAAGGTGAAGCTCTCAGTTTTGTTTTTAACAAATACTTTCTTGTCAATGTTTTGTGATTGCGGCGACTCACTCACAGAGATAATGTGGAGAATTTTATCTATCGCGAGATTTTAATACATGGCACTAATTACTAAAAAGCTTTAAATTTATTTCTAAAATATATGTGATAAGTAGCTATCGACAAAATTACAGGTGAATGTTCAACATATAGTATACTTAAATCATGCCTTGTAAAGGTCCTGTAGCTGCTTGCGTATCGCGTGATCTGCATGGTGCGGCCGTAAGGACTAACACACTTGGCAGGTCTTGCGAATTCCGGATTCAAAATGCAGACACCTGAAGTTGGGCACGCGAACGAAGTTTCGAAGGACGTCTTGAATACTTTTTAGAGCTTAAGTCAAAGGGGGTAAACTAATAAAAATAAAGCGAAAATTGCGGCCGTGCATTCACTATTCCCTCTACCGGATCTTCGTCGTCTGACCCCTAGTTTGTGATCTTGCTCTCGGATGATCACCATTGATGTATTTTGTTTAAAATATTATTTATCGTAACTATCTTGCTCATCGCCTGGCTATGCTATTGGCTTTCATCGTTTTTGCGTTCAGCAAGGCAGCCGGAGCGAGCTCATTAACCAGTGTGCACACGACAAACAGGCCAGTGTAGGACATTGAAAATACATGGCCCCCCGACTTTATTTTTATACCTCACTACCTCAGAACTGTGTTCTAAAAAATAGACAGAAAACTTCTGACGAAACTATTTTAGAATTCCCCTATTTTCAGATATTTGTACAATATCGGGTCAACGCCGACCGTCCGGTAGATCAGCGCCTTATCGCGGCGTGAAACAGCTAGTCAGCGAGGTTAGGCTTGTGCCTTCTGCCACACGCGTGTAACCACGCTGACCTGCCGTTGCACGCCGCAATAAGGCGCTGAGCCACCGGTCGGTCGGCGTTCGCGTGATATTGTCAAAAAAATCTGGAGGTTGTACGTTTTCAATTCCAACTTTGCTAGGAGTGCCAAATACGTTAGTTCTTGCTGTCGCACACATTACATCGTCATTTACTTGTTTGTATTAGTGTTACCAATGTAAAGCGTTTTTACAGTGAAGCTGTAGGTGACTCGTAGGTCGGGTTTTTTCGTGTCCGTCGACAGAACAGTAGTCGAGAGAATGGTCGTCAAAAAACCATCGCGCACGCTTTATCTCTGTTGGCGTGCGCCTGAATTCTTATCACGTGGTTTTGACACTTGTTTCAATAAGAAAACAACAAAACAAGTGACAAAATCACGAGATAAAGGATAAGTACGTAGCACTCCGCGCATGCGTTTCTCGATAAAAAATAGCGGTTGCATAAGCTGCTGTGGCTACGGCAGAGTACAAAGTCTTTCATATAAAAAAAAGTGTTGGTACAGTGCATTTGCTTTTTTTTTTCGTGAACCATTTGGCATAGAGTCCAAGGGTGGTCAAGCTGCGGCTCACGGCTCCCCCCCCCCCCCCACCCCCCCACACACACACAGACTCCCCCGCCTTCCTCCCGGTCACACGAGCACCTCTCCAAAAAGAGAAATGAAGCGTGTTTTAAATTGAAAGACAGGTTGTGGTTTGGTAGTCTTGTGCTACTGCTACCTTACGTACAGCTGGACTGCTTCTGACTCGGGTAGATTGAAAGTAGTTCCGGTTTAGTTTATTGCTCTAAACAAAAATCCCCCCCCCCCCCCCCCCCCCCCGCAGCTCTTGGATGTTTCGTGGTTTTGTTTGCGGCTCTTAGGCCGGGTCAGCCTGGCCGCCCCTGGATAGACCCTTTTCCTGTTAAGAAACATGAACTGCAGCTTGCGTCCCGAGCGACTTCCGGTCGCACCGTCTTTGCAAGTCTGTTTACCTTGCTTATGTCACTAGTGCTACAAAGCAAAAATGCTACATGGACAACACATTTGGAGATTTAACGAGGGTCATCCGTTGTACAATATTACTCCTTGTAGGAGGCAAGTTGGTTTACAACAATACTCAAAACATTTTAACAAATCTCGCACTCCTTCGTTATTTTGGCGTTCACCTGAAAAACTGGTGGTTAAACATTTCATATACATTTTAAGCAGCCGTGTAAGGGTGGCCTTTGTTAATTTTCTTATAAACCGCAAGTTCTGTAGATTGTCAAAGACTGCAGTACCCCCTAGTGGCGTTTTCCACGAAAAAGGTCTATAGTGGAGTAGGCACTCGTTGCAGGTGATCCCAACCGCTGTCATAGCGTAGATTGGAGCTTTTTTTTATTGTGATCTTTAATTGATGCCCGCAAATATCAAAATATAGGTCAATAGCGTTGCATGCCCGCATAAACGCTCTCATAAAGAGCTGAACACGTTGTAGGCTGGTGACCGGTACTGTTGTTTTAAAACAGTAAGGACGTTTCTAAAACCTACAGTGTAGCAGGCCGGGCTCACCATGGGGAGTAAATCAGGCCGTAATAATTTATGTTTATCTATAATCTTCATGACAAAGATGTGCAAAATTATGAATGTCGTGGTCGCAATAACTTATATAGAATAAACCTTTATTTATTTATTTATTTCAAAATACTACGACCTCAATGAGGTCATCGCAGGGGTGGAGAGATAACATACGTATACATTCAAAAAGGCCATCGATTAAAAATGTACACACCCTACGGAACAAAACATAGAAAACCGTGAAAAATGCAATATAAAAAAAGAGGACGAAACGAAACACATACACTTCAATTACAGATTCCAGGCACCATACCAGAACACCTACTGTATTTGTAACACAAACATATCAAAATCGAGACAACGAGCTGATCCATTTATGTTAATCCAATTTTCTATCGTTCGAGGAAAAAAGGATATTTAAAACAGTTAAGGTGGGCTCTGTACGGTACAAGATTAGAAAACAGTGCTAACCCTATTGCGCATGCAGTTTTAAAGTAGATTTCGGTACGTCTTTCGTGTTTTTTAGAGTAATATAATTTTAAACGATCATTTAAAACTAAAATATGAGTACTGAAGCTTTTTTGCCAATTCAAATATATAAAGTTATTAAACATGGCAGCAATACATGTTTGCTTATCTTCACATTTAGGCAAAGGGCTTGGTTACTGAGCTCATCGACTCCTTCAAGGAACGCCTTCTGAAGATAAGATGGATGGATCACAAAACAAAATTAGAGGCTTTAACGAAGGTCGGTGCGGTTTCCCATTTTGAGATCCCACTGATTAGAGGAAGAAATACTTGTATTTTTACTGTTTTAACTATCGGAGCCAAATCGTTTATGCGCGCTGCTGTTTCTCGCTGGGTTTAAGCTTTTACTTTATGCTGATCAATGCGTGCAGAAACTGAGGTAGATGAGGGGATTAGAGCGCGCGGGGGCGTCCGAGCACTGAGCTCTGGTTGGAATGATTAGTGTGTAGACTGCATTCCACTGCACACGTTGAACGCGTTAGAATGCGGAGCGCCGGCGTCCGGCGTTTGGCTGTCGGATTTGAATGCGTTCGACAAGTGCAGTAGAGAAAACGATAGCTAGCTTTCGGTCTACCCCCTAATTATTCCAACCAGAGCTCGGCGTTCGGACGTCTCCGTGCGCTCTGGTTTCATTCTTTCCCTCAGTTTCTTCCTGAATAATCAGCCGCCTAAATAAGTTACATCGCGATTTAAATCTAAGCATGTGCTTGTTAGAAACCTGTGTGATAATAGATAATAATGACATACCGTAGTGTTTACAATGTATCGAAAAGTACAAGGTATCTAGGAAGTTGATCTACAGTGTGTTTTTTTTATCACACAGATAAACTACCCTTCGTCAAAAGCTCAGTTTATACTCAATTGCAGCGTTCGCAGTACTGTCCAGGTGTTAATTTTCGAGGCTTTTTATTATATGAGTCAAATTTTTTACGCAATTTTTTTTACTTTCTCTAGTATGAAACACAACGCGTTCCCTGCACCATACACCACTCATCTCAATGGACGTGTCGGTTTGATCGGCCGCCATTTTATTATTGCAAATTTACGAAAATAGTGTATAAATTTTCGATAAGATAACGGCAAACCATAATTGTGGCACCTGGTGCGAACTGCTAGACATACACTCCAAGAAAAAAAGCTGTGCTCTGACACCGTTTGCCACATAAAGACACCCGAAAACTTCAGTTCGACGTACTGCACACCAACGACGAACTGACGGCCCCAACTTTTACGAGGGGACAGATAAGGGTGCTATATAACATACTAAACATTCAAAGCACGTATCAAAGACTACATAAAAAACACCGACAATTTGCTGTAGAGCCAGGAATATCCGGATTACTTTTATTGCAGTTAATCACACATTTATTAGCTATTTTAATAAGTTGTACAACTAAGCTATCAAGCAGGTCGCGAAAGTTGGTACCGTTGGTTCACGGTCAGTGTGCTGTATACGTTGAACTGCAGTTTTGGGGTGTAATGAATGTTACAAGCGGTGTAAGAATAGACATTTCTTTTTTCGACCAAGACTGGGTGCTTTGGCGTTAAAAAATTTAGTTTTAAAAGTAAAGTGATAAGCTTGCTTCTAAGAGCCTCGCCAGTTTAGGAATGGTCGTGACTGTAAAGATGAACTATTGATCGCAATAAAATATTTTGTCTTCAATACAATATTATTACAAAGAGTACTGGTGTCGAGTGGGCCTAAATAAACTGTAGGTAGAACTACCTGAGCAAACATAAAACTTGAATTGCTTTGCACAGGTATATTGGTTAGGCGTTATACGGAGGAGAACAATATGCTTATCTCGCTTTAAAAATAGCTGACAAGAAGTCTTGCACATCCTCCCTGCAGGACTCTAGGTGGTACAAACGTGCATGGTTGCAAAACAATTCTGTAAAATACCTGTGTTGTTTTTATTGCTTACAGTCTTAGACTTACAATATTTTCCCACCTATCTGCGCAATTGGCGGTGAAATTGTGTTTTGCCATAAGCTAAGAATTTTAGCCATAAGATATATTCTCATATGAGCCTTAAGGAAGGAGTGTTTGTAAAATGCTTGTCCAATTTCATTTAACAGCTGACTCAAATCGTTAAAAAAGTTGGCTATGCTGATTGGCTGATGAACGACACATATCTGAACAACATGTACCGTGAGGTAAGTTATTTGTGATGTTTTCATCCCATAAAATGTGCCCATAACGCATCTTTTCGACTACACATGCAAAATGAATGATACATTGAACTCAGTTGACACGGAATTCAAATTAAACCTCATAATGTTATGATATTTAACGAGGCTACTGTCCAACAGACTTTCTTTGTGTGATTAATAGAAACAATAGGACAAAAAGAAAAATTTCATTTTAATGATTATACACTACTCAGCTTATTTCTCTTTACATCCGAATAGTACTGTTAGTGCCAATTGAATGTTTCTTCCGATAACAAGGGAGAACTCGGCTAGACCATGCTCCCTCTAAAGATTTTTTCTGGCTTTGATAATTTCATCGTCCTTACCAAAGTAACCATTATTAAAACTTGTGGACAATACGTTTCAGCGACCTCTGTATCACCAATAATTACAATTTATAGGATAGTACCGCTAAGGTTAACCTAATGCAGAATATTTTGAAGTCTTCAACACGATTTTATGTGACTTTTATTTACGGCTACACTTAGTCATACACAAGATGTTATATTGAAAAACATTACAAAAACATTTGGCAATATAGTTTTGCTTAAAAAATACAACTTAGGGCAATACCAATAAATTTCCTTTCTTTTTCATTTTGAAAGGTTGAACCCGTTGTTCTAGGTCAACCCTTTATTTTGTCCTACTTGGATTTCCGGAAGAAAAGCGGCCTGGAAATTTTGAGAAAGTTACGTGTGGAGAACAACCGAGCAGAAGTGTGAGTGACTGAGTTAAAGCTTTGCTTTTGAGTGTTGGGCTGTTATGTTACCCTGTTTAAGTATAAATTTGGTTATGCTCGTTTGACCAAATACAATAAATAAATAAAATTGGTGTATTTTTTTCACAAGAAGCGTCTTCCGGTGTGTGAATTGTTGAAAATTAAGATTAAAACGATCCTTCCTCGCGAGCGGGCATGGGGGCGGCTAAGGAGAAAAGGAAGAAGTTGAAGTAAATCGATCACCAGAGCTGGGTCGTCCTGTTCCTTTCCCCTACGAGCGCTCTCACGGAGCAACATTTGGGGCCGAAACCCGGGAGTTGAACAAGGTTGGACGCCACATTCGTGAATATGGATCGACTAAAAAAGAAGCGAGTGGTTCAATGCAGCCGGAACACCAAGCTCATAAATGAGATACTAGCTGAGCTACAGTCGGACCACATGGACTCCATTGTTGCGTGACAGACTGCTTGCTAGCAACGACGAGCTTCGGAAAGTCAATGAGGGGATAGAGCCCCTCATTGACGACAATGACTTGGAAGAGGACTACAACACCGTGGCTGACTTCGAGGACCAGGTCGCAAGGATCGTCAGCGAGGTGCGAGCCCAGGCGACGCCGCCACCGCCACGCTCCGAAGGCGACAGAGACAGCAGCTCCCACATGACTGGAGTGAAACTCTCGAAACTACAACTGCTGCAGTTCCAAGGTGAGCTTACACAATGGCAACCCTTTTGGGAACAATTCGACGTCGCGGAACACCGGTACAAAAGTCTTTCTGAGGCGAAAAATTTCCAATACTTGCGCTCTCTTCTCGTTGTACCAGCAGCCAGTATGATTTCTGGACTACAAGCCACCGCAGCATGTTACCAAGATGCGGTAGAGCTTCTGACCGAGCGTTTCGGGGATAAACAGCGAATCGAACGCGAATATCTGGGAAGACTGCGTAAGCTACCAGCTGTGAAATCTGAGCGCGACGTACAGGGACTACGGAGCGTCTACGATAACGTGCAAATAAATATCCATGGCTTGCTTTCGCTCGGTATTTCGTGTGATACATACGCAGCTATGCTGGTTGATATACGTCTGACCAGATTGCCATCACGCATCGTAGTGGAGTACTACCGGATCAAGATCCATATGTCACAACTGGCTCCTCCTACTCTCACCGAACAGATTGAAGCCACTTCCAGTGGTGCGACACGTTGTGAGGCTATGGTTGATACATTGAGGAATACGGGAGAAGAGCTGGCTAAGATGCTACAATTTCTACGGGTGGAAATCAAGAGCCGCGAGCGATCCTCACGTGACGAGCGCCCATCGGCGAATCTGTCACCATTGGCTTCTAGACCTCGACAGACTATCCAGATTCCTCAACGATTGTTTTGCGAAACTCAAGTCGTCTAGATGACGCTTGCTGCTTCTGTGGAAATGAGGATCATGGTGCCAGCACATGCTCTTCCAAAAGCTCCTTAGATGAGAAGAAAAGGCGGCTTGCACAGAATAGCAGCTGTTTCCAATGCACGAAAAGAGACCATCGCTCTAAGGACTGTCACAGCAAGGCTCGATGTACCACTTGTAGCGGGAGACATGCCGTCTCTATGTGCAACCCAGAGTGGCGGCCACAATCACTTCGTCGTGGAGCTCCGGCCGATAGCGAAGAAACTACCGACGTCTTAACGGCGGGTTCCACATCTTCACCTGGCGGCAACAGCGTTCTCCTGCAGACTTTCAGGCGCTGGATTGTGACTAACAAGAAGTCTGCTTACATTCGCGGCATCGTAGACGGTGGAAGCCAGAAAACGTTCATCCGAGAGGATGTGGCAACAAGGCTTCAACTGGACAGTATAGGCTACCTCGACCTGAAATTTAACACCTTCTCAAGCACAGAAACAAACAATCCCAGCCAACAATTAAAGGTCATGCGTCTGCATTTGCCAAGCCAGTACGCTACGGCGAGCCATACATTGGATGCCGTGGTTGTCCCGTTCATATGTAAGGAGCTTACAGAAGCACCGTTCGATCACTCGTTCATACGAACCATCTCAGGCGAGCTCGCCGACGAGTTGATGTTCCCTTATGGGAAATCAGAAGCTGGTATAAGCCTCCTGATAGGCGCTACCCAGATATGGCGACTTCTCATGGGAGAGATTCGACGCGCTGAAAGTGCCACCGAGCTGGTGGCCATTTTAACTGTTCTGGGATAGACTTTCCAAAGGCCGACCAGCGCTGCGCAGGCGCTATCATATTCCGTGAATGCGGTTGTGGGTGTTCTCAGTGTTAGGAACAGTCACGAAGACGACTCCACCGCTTTGCGAAAAGTTTGGGATTTAGACAGCCTTGGCATCGTGGATGAGCCAACGATTACACTGCTGGATCATAAGAACGCAATGGGACACTTCAACGAAAACATTCCGATGAAAGGAGGGCGCTATCAAGTCAATCTCCCCTGGAAGGACGCCACATCAATCCTGGGGAACAACTGTGATGTAGCGCACACAAGACTACACAGCCTGATCAGACGACTGAAGCGAGATAGCACCGTCGCAGAGTCCGACGAGGGAATCCCACGCTATATAGATGCCGGGCAGGCAGAAAGAGTCAATGAGGACACCCAGAACAGCGTACCGTCTGCTACATGCCTCATCGAGCGGTGGTTGGTGCGGAGTCAGCGATAACGAAGCTCCAAGTCGTCTTCGACGCCTCAGCTTATGGACCAAGCACTGGGCCCCTGAACGACCAGCTTGAAACAGGCCCGAAGATAAACACGGATCTCCTGCCAGCAGGTCTGACTTTAATTATTCCTAAAGCCAGAGTCGATCCTCTCAAGACGCTATCCCTGCTGCGCCTCATATTGAGGTGAGCACGATTGGGAGCACGAATTTATGTATTCTTGCGAACAAACGTATTTGACACTGACATCGAAGTATGGTACTGGGTGGACTCCATGATAACCGTGGGTTAGATCAGGGGATCTGCGACCGATTGGAAACCATTCGTATGCAACCGGGTTATGGAAATTCAAGCCAAGACTGATCCCTCCAGGTGGCACAACTGTCCTGGTTACATGAATCCAGCTGACATGATGACTAGAGGAAAGAACCTTGAGGACAGGCCAGTGCTGACGATGAATGGTGGTTCGGACAAGATGGGTTTATGCGCGACCGGATAGACCGGCCCCCTGCGGCGTCTCCAGCCAATGGTCTGTCCAGCCATATCGAAGCGGAAAGACGAAAAAAAGTGAATGTCTTGGTCAATGATGCAAACGTGCCAACTCCGCTTCTGACTTTGGAGAACTTCGAAAGCTACACGAGGATGCTGTGGGTCACGGCTTGGGGTCTGCGCTTCGTCCAACATTGTTGACCACCGAGAGAGACAACGGAGCTCTGCTTGTCGGCAGCGGAGATCCGAGACGCAGAGCAATTGTGGAAGAGACATGCTCAGCATAAATGCTTTAACGCCGAGATTTGGGCTCTGTCTCGAAGTCAAGACATCTCGGCGAGATCAAAGATAATGAATATGCAACATTTCACTGACGAAGCTGGCTTTATGCGGATCCGTGGCCGACTGCAGCATGCCTTACTTTCGGAGGGTGAGAGGCATCCTGTTATTCTACCGAAAGATTATCACCTGAGCAAGCTGGTTGCCGCCTCGGCCCATCAGTGCACCTTGCATGGAGGCGTTCAAGCAGTGATGACGGAGTTACGTGAGAAGTTTTGGCTACCGAACGCCCCGAGGACGGTAAATGCGGTGATCGAACAGTGTCGACTTTGCCGACGCTTTTCTGCCCAGCCAGCCTGTGCACTAGTTGCACCGCCACCGCAGAACAGAGTACACAAGGTCGAGTACAGAGTACACGACCGTCCAAGTCGTAGGAGTCAATTTTGCGGGTCCTTTGTTTAAGACTGACGATGACGATGTAGATTCTTACATTGCCCTTTTCGCTTGCCCAACCACTTGAGCTGTACACCAAGAGCTCGTCTCTTCCGTAGCCATGACGCCCTTTCTTCTGGCCCTTCGAGGTTTTGTTGCTCGTAGAGGAATCCCGAGCATAATTTACAATGATAATGTTTTTACGTTCAAGATGGCTGCGAGAGACTTGAGGACTCTGTGGAAAATAATGCGCAGTCCACTGTCGCAGGATTACTGCAGCGCTCCAGTAATCACGTGGAAGTTCATCGTAGAGACAGCGGCATGGTGGGAACGACTGGTGCAATCGGTAAATATCTGCCCCCGAAAAATACTTGGACGAGAGAGCCTATCGTTCGAGGAGCTGACGACTGTCTTGATTGATGTTGAGGCTACAGTAAACTCGCGGCCCTTCACATACCCTCACGCAGAGGCTTGCGAGCCAGCAGTCTTGACGCCAGCACAATTTCTCATCGGCAGAAGACTGACCACACTGCCCGAGACGAAGACGTCTCGGGCAGTGTGCTGGAGACGTTGGAAACAAGATCTCCAAGAGCTTCGCTCAGCACATCTCGCCCGACCCGCTGACAGCTGCTTACCGAAAGTTGGAGACGTGGTTTTGCTTCGTGATGACCGCACCCCAAGTTACCTTTGGAGAACCGTCCGCATCACGGAGTTCTTTCTTTGTAGAGACAGGCACGTGCGAGCATGCGCCATCAGGTTGCCCTCAGGTACATCCACACGAAGACCCATGCGGCTGCTCTACCCACTGGAGACCTGGTGATCAAATGAGCGACTTGCTCATTTGGGGGGGGGGGGGGGGGGGGGTAGGGTGTTGAAAAGTAAGATTAAAACGATCCTTCCTCGCGCTCGGGCATGGGGACGGATAGGGAGAAAAGGAAGAAGTTGAAGTAAATCGTTGACCAGAGCTGTGTCGTCCTGTTCCTTTCCCCTACGAGCGCTCTTAAGGCGCAACATGAAGGACGTATTTATATTAGGATTAGGACACATTCAGTTTCCTTATGCACGTCCTTTTAAATGTTCGTTGCAAAGATTTGCTAATATAAATAATCAACTAGAGCAGGTTGTTCACAAA